TACAAAGTGCGGAGTTTGAACCTGTTCTTGCATCAGAAGTCAATTAGCACAAGAATGATGATGATGATGATGAAGGTTACTATTATATCCTTTCACTACATAACATGTTTCTGCACACTCCACTCAAATCTCTTTACAGGTAATGGATATACCCTCCACCACCACCAGTGTGCAGCCCCACCTGGATGATGCACCAGTACCCTCCCCACACACCAGCTCTCAGTGGGGAGGAGATCAGAGTGATGAAACCTGTTCAGAGAGGGGGATTATTAGGAGGCCATGACTGGTAAAGGCCAGGGGGAAATTTGGGTAACACACCTACACTTTTTGAGAAAGGCTCTGGGATTTTTAATGACCTCAGGAGTCAGGACTTTAGTTTTGCGTCTCATCTGAAGGTTGGCACCTTTAGGACCCACACAGACCGCAGGGTGAGCGCCCCCTACTGGCCCCACTAACACCTCTTCCAGCAGCAGCCTTAGTTTTTCCCAGGAAGTCTCCCATCCAGGTACTGACCAGGCTCACACCTGCAGAGCTTCAGTGGGCTGCCAGCTGTGACTTGCAGGTAATGGGAAGTACAGTAGCCGTTGGTGAAGGGCCAGCTGATCGTTGAGAGAGACGAACGTGTATGGCCAAGGTTTGATTATTTGTAAGATGCCTGGTGCATATCTCAGTTTAGATTCTAATATAGTGAGAGCTCAAGTGTTAAGCAATTGCAGAAAGAGAGGAGACCATTCAGCCCATCTTGCAAGCAGCCATTCATGGCATCTAAATTCACACACATGGCTCTAGTAGAGTTCATGGGGTGAATTAATAAAAGCAATTCAAGCCACGTTTGCTGTACTGTCCACTCTCTTCATTTGGCAATCAGTGTAGCATATAAAAGGAAAAGGAGTTTCTGGATACAGTGATACTGATGCCAACACAAAAAGGAATATGCATATACTAATCCATAGATTTCTCTGTATCAGGTTTTGTGTGTTAGGCTGCACTCTTTTATCATATTGACTGACATATCAATATTGACATATTGAAATTCACCCTGAAACAACAGACCAGAGAGCACCCCTCACCTTCGCACTGCCAAAAGTTAAAACTTGTTTTCTCACCTTAGCATATGAAATAAATCACAGCAAAGAAAATCTGAAACTTCTGTAGAAACCAGCTTACAAAGCCTCTTCCAGACCTTCGAACTGCATGGCTGTACAAAAATAATTCTCCACAAAACATTACATTGATTTATCATAACAGCCCGGTGACAATCACAGGTTTTGTATTTGTCAAAGTTTCTCTCACTTTATCTCTAATAGAAAATGCCGTGTCATTATTCGCAAATAAACGTTCGTTTTCTGACGACAAAATCTCGAAAAAATACTTTAAAGTTCACTAGCCACAATACTTCCTCAAATTATAAAAATGCCCTTAGTTAAATGCGCTACTGGCTAATGAGTTGTAGAAAAAGATTTTTAAAAAGGTGGTTTCTTTATGTGTTCTATACTGTATCTCAAATGAACTTTCACAGTTCAAATCAACACGTGAAATAAATATAGTAATTAAAGAGCGCTACCTAGTGGCCATTGCAGCTACTATCAGTCCTTTACGCAGCCGCAGTGAAGACCACCGTTTTGCGGACTGACGTCATTGGTGTCCTGAGTCTCAGAGCTCCCTCTCGCTTTAGTGTCCCTGCCATCTTATTTTCCAGTTCACCTCTGCCTCTGCTTAGGCAGTTCTCCTCTGTAGGTTCCACTGTGCCGCCAGCACACCCTGCCAGATTCTTCGGTTTCGTTGTTAATGATCTTAAAGAATAGTTTGCATTGCTGTTGCATTACCTAAAAAATATGAAGGATGCTACTGTGGACACAAGCTCCCTTTTTAGACTGGCAAAATGGCTGATGCAATCTTCAATCTTTAATCCCTCTCTCTTAGCTTCCAGTGAAGCATTTAGAACTCAGTGTGCGGGATGCTATGTCAAAAACCTACTGGCCCACTGCATGACTATGGTATTGTTTTACTTCACCAGAAAACCCACTGGACTTCAACGAGAGGCAGGTATTTTTAGCTGTGCTCCTGTGACAGCCATAGACAGATGCAAATTGCTTTTGAGCGGGGACCTTATTCAGCTGGGGTCTAGAATGGATAAATTGATATTCAAGCCTGACAACACAAATGCTTTTGTGATTCTTTCAGCTGCTTCATATATCTACAGTTCCTCTGAATGGTCTGCAATCTAGTGACAAGCACACAATGTAGATTTTATTGATGGTCTGAAGTCTCAGAGGCTCTGAAATCTGAGGCTGATTTCCTGTACCCCAGTATCCGAAATGAATCTGGTAGCTGGAGTCTAAAAGTAAATCGATGTGAGGACGTGTTAGTTTTTATGGAAACTCTCTCTCCAGCTACAGAAGGCTGGATCAGTGGAGACTGGTAGTGCATGTGACTGATACAGCTCTTCATTATAAATTATGGGCGGGAATAAGGAGTCTTTACAGGCCTCCCATCAGAAGGACAGGACAGATGAATAAAGCTGGTACTATAAACCACCACTAGGTTTAAGAATACCTGAAAAAACATGACATAAAAGTCTCATCCGATCACTTGATCATAATCATTTGCTTGAAAAGATGGAAGCTTTTGGTACTGATTGTACATTGTACATTTCATGAATTTTAATAGAGTCTTACTGTACGTGTTCATTTTCTCCCAACCCAAAGAGATGCGGTTACATCCACAGGTGTCACACAAGACCATAAATATTTCATATTCCTCATATCCCATGCATATAACAGCTGCTCACAGCATTTCTTATTGCCATTTCCAATTACCATACTGTAAATAAAGCAGGCAAACAAATGTATTCATGGGTCACTTCATAACATCTTCACATGATAGTGACTATTTTTCCTACGAACGACCCTTCCTCACTTCGGAAGCCCTGCTACCACAGTGTGTACAGTATCCTCTCTGCACCCCTGTATCTCCAGCACAGCCAGATCAAACTACCCAGCAGGAAGACCCACACCCACATATCCTTCAGCCGGGGAGAAGCGGCTGTCACTGAAATATGCTGAAACTGTTCCGGCCAGAAGCACTGATGTTCGGTGTTCAGGTTAAGTGTTAGGTTGGCCCTTGATATGCCCGTGTCTGGTCATAAAGGCATCTTGATATCTCAAAGTAACATCCTACCATGTTGTTTTAAAGGAGACACAAAATGTGTAGGGCCTGTACTTTTTAAAGCCCTACCATAGTAACTTTGTAGCTTGGTATTCAATATCTAAATGCATACAGAACATGCAATGCAGTATTGTGGGGGTTTTGGCACATCATCAGAGTGGTTCTGCCATTAGAAGAATTCTGTCAACTGAAGAGCAGCCTGTGCCTCATAGACAAGAAATAGCTCATTTAAATCTCGACTATGTCATTCGCTGACCATGACTGGAATTTCCGTGTGGTCAGCCCCACTTGAGTTGGGGGGCAGGAGTTAACACTCTATTCCCGGCTTTTCACCTGTGGGGTACCTGACACCTCTGCACTTGCAGTATTATTATCAGACAGAGGACTTCAGCACTCCTGCCGGCACTGCGGGCTCATGGGGTTGCAGAGAAATGGACAGCCTGACAAAGCGCCCGGCCAGTGCATGAAGGAGGCTGCCATCAGCTCTGCAGGGCTCCAGCGAAGGTTTCAGTGAGTTTTCATGCTCCGTGGCCATGTGCCAGTCTGCCCTGTTTCAGTACGAGCATGGTCAAAACAGCTCTAATTTGGATGAGCTCCTTGGACTAACAATTTCTGAACTACCACATGGGCTAGATGAGCAGAATGGGCACCTGTTGTTGGCAGCTGTCCTGACGAACTTTCAAAATTCTGGGGAGTGAAAGTGGGCTAAACCCAAACAAAGACAAATATCTGGCAGTTTCAACTAAATAAAAATTAGTGCGTGAATGATTACACACCCAGTTCCATGGAATAAGACCAGAGAGTCTTAGGTTCAATCAATTTGACAGAAAAGATACACTTCCCAGTTCCATGGAATAAGACCAGAGAGTCGTAGGCTCAATCAATTTGACAGAAAAGATACATTTCTCGGAAGGCTGCTCTGTTATTTAAAACAATGGAAAATGTTTAATGTCTGTGTGTGAGTTGGCCAAAAAAGAAACAAAAAGAACATTTAAAAGCTGGACAGCTGTCTGTGTGGAGTTTGCATGTTCTTCTTGGGTTCATACAGTTTTCCTCTGGGTTTTCCGATTTCCTCCCACAGTCCAAAGACATAATACAGGGTTAATTGGCTTCTACAAAAATCCATCCTGGTGTGAGTGTGTGTGTTTGTGTCTGTGTGTGCTCTATGATGGACCAGTGCACCAGTGTACCCTGCCTTGCGCTTGCTGGGATTGGCGCCGACTCCCTTGTGACCCAGAATTGGATGAAGCAGTTAGAAAATGGATGGATTAAAATAGCTGTGATCAAAGGTATCACATAGATGTCTGTCCTAATCCCTATTGCTCTTCGACAGCCTGCTGGACGGCAGAAGAGATGCGGCAGTGAAAACGAAACACGTCTGTAATTCCTGAGTCTGGGTAACTGACAATGCCAAAGACCGGGACCCGTTCCATTTGCTTACTGCAGCTATTTAGGGAGTTACAGATTCAGCCAAGACAAGCTACCATCTATCATTTCAGAAAGCGAGCACAAGCCGGGAAAAAGGACAGTGAAGATCAGAGGCTGTCAGCACTCACTTCTTAATGAGCCTGCAAGTGACAACTGAAACTGTGTAGCTACGTGGAAGAAACTGCGAAATGCTTACAATATCTTCTGCCATGGCACTAAGGACATTGTAGCTTTTCCCAGGAAATCTTTTGCACGACTTAAAGGACAGCCTGGGTCTCCCACTATTCTGCAATATGACAATATATCCTCACTGCAGTTGATCCATCAACAGTAACATCTCCCTTTTCACAACTGGCTTGTACACAAGGCCAGTACATCACACCTGGTTTAATGTTTAGAGACTGTTAACAGAAGTAATGCCCACTCATGACTGTAAGAAGGTTATCCCGGAAATGCAACCGTATAAATCAAGGAGTTAAAAACAACAGTCTGTTACATCAAATCAGCAGACATTTATCTTGACTTCTTTTTGCACACCATAAATAGATTTTTCATCAAGCTAATGGAGAGCAAATGCCTTAATATGTCACCCACTTTTAAAACAAAGCAATACCTCTTTATTATAGAAAATATAGAATATGAAATCATTAAATTTTAAACACAATATCAAGTGAAAAGATGTTTAATGTATTTTAACAAATCGATATAAAAAGCTTTGCTTTGATTAAAATGGTCTGCCAACATGCTTTGATTAATATATATTGCAGCAAGTTTAAATATCAAGTGTTTCAAGCAGTAATATTTGTACCAGCTGAAGAGAAAATGCAGCGAAGGACATAGGAGCACATTGATGTGTCCTGACATGTCCCACATTTTGGCAGGAGAGCATAAACTCTTGCTCTGTGGTGGCATGGGTGTGAGGGAAGTAGCTGAGTGGTGTTGTTTTCTCTTAGCAGCGTGAAGTCAGAGATGAACTTGAGCTGCTACAAAAGATGCTCTTTTTGTACGATGAAGAAAAGACACCAGCAGGTCAATGTGTGCAGCCCATGTCGTGTACTCCAAAATCCTTTTCAACGCTGCCAGTGTGTGTGGCCTTAGTTTAGTTCTCCACAGGTTTTTAAGGGATCTGCCATCCAGCTCTCAGCCTGTATGATCACAGATAATGATCTTTTTCAGCATTTTAGAACTACTGCACCCTCATCATGGCATTCCATTCTTAGATTTAGATTTTTTTCCCTCTGTGTAATGAAAATGGGACAAACTTACCAGGTTTCTTGGTGGGTTCTGGCATTGCCAACTCTATCCCCGAAAGAGTCTGAACGCTGCAAAGGCACAGTGATTGTGAAAGCCTGGGTCCGGTGGGCTTAGCTGCAGTTCAAGATCAGATCACAGGGGGAGATGATCCCCCCTTCTTTATATACAGCAGGCAGCTGGCACCTCCTTCCTTATTCAAGCTCGGGAAGATGGACATCGCTGGGCTGCCCCATCCCCGTGGATTATCCGGGGAATCCTTTCTGGTCTAGCAGCACTGGTGGCTGCTGGAGGTCTTTGCTGGGCACGGCAACATTAATTGACTAAATCAGACGAGAGCGAAAACATTAACTGTGAGAGATTCTTTCTAAGCTTCATTAAAACATACTGTTAACTCCTTTTAAAGTGCTGGTGCTAAGAGGAGCACAATGTGGGCATTTATGCAGTATCATGTGTCCTCTGTGTTATCTGGTGGATTAGTAAAATCCAAATATAGTGTTGAAATGTGCATGGGAGCTGCGTTCGGACAGAGAGAAATGGTTATGCCAGGGGAGGTTTGCAGTTACTCAGTTACTCTGAGTAACATAGAGTATACCCAAAGGAATAGGGAAAAGGTGAAAGAGAATCCATTAATTAAAGATTCATCCATTAAATTAGTTGTCATTCTGTGCGTGTTTAATAATTCAGGTCAGGTCAGCAGTCAATGCGTTTTCCTTAAAATACTTTAATCGCGAAAGTTCCCTGTCTTCTTTACCTCACCAAATCTGAGTAGCTAAACTCAAACTTCACCTTCAGATGCCAGGTGCACAAGGTCAGTACTCTGGTTCCGAAGGCGGGTCAGCACTGGCAGGCTGTTGGGCATCACTGGGCTCTGGGGGGAACAGTTGGCTGTGAAGAGGGTCAGGAGAAATCTGTGGCACGTCTGATTCCAGATGTGTTTGCCAGGGAAAAAAAAAAACGGGATGCAGAGTGAAGGGAAAGTGAAGGTTTTCATGTTATTTTTGACACATTTTTTTCCCAGCAGGCTGTTTTCATTCTGAGAAATTTGAAACGACGGTCATTTGCACCACAACAATGGGAAAGGCATTGAGTGGCATTGTTAGGGTGCTTTGGATTGTGGTACTGTCACCATCCAGCCCAGGAGAACACAGAGCTGCAGGCTGCACATTCTGAAGAAGCACTCTGACTGATCTCAACAGATGTCCTCTTCTATTCTGAAGAAGGAGAGTAGTGCAGTAAATGTAAAACTCCGTTTAGGAATGTGTACTTCATCTCATTTTGGGCATTGCATTCATCAAACAAATAGTAACTGTTGAAATGGAGTTTATAACGAAAGTCCAGGAGGGATGACAACAACCAAGCTCAAAGAGACTCAGCTGTCAGTAATTTGCAATAGCTCCTGACGATCCATTCCTCTCCCAAACTCTATAAATACCTACGAGATCCCAGCCTCTCTCTCTTGCATGTCTCTTGCATCCCAATTCCTATCTTCCCCTCTGCAGCTGCCCCTTGGTCAACCTGCAGGGGGGTCCTGGCCTCCTTGTCCTCTGGCAGGGAGGCCAGCCCTCAGCCAAGCAGGTTAAGCCACAATTTTGCTCCATGATGCTTTCGTCTTGGGTGTTGTCATTCCTAGCGAAAACAGTTACAGTACATGAGAAAGATTTTAAATGAGAGAAGACCCACTGTCCCATTTGGCATGTTTAGTAGTTAGTTACTAATTGATTTAAGGATCCTGTCGTTTCCTGAAAGACACCAGGGTATCAGCTTCAATGTCATGGCTGGGTAGCTTGTTCCAGACTGCACATTGAGTAAAGAACGGCCTCCTATTCTCACTTTTAAATGCACTTCCACTTAGTTTTCACCTGGGTCATTGTAGTTCATCCCCTTCAGCCCCAGAATGCATCTGGTTTCTCTTTTCAGGACAGACTCCAGCTCAGCAATATCTTTTTTATAATGTGGTGTCAAAAATCATGCTGTACCAAACTATACACATCTGAATGAGGGCTGACTGAGGCATTGCACGATTTTAACACAGCAGCCCAGTGTTTAAATGATAAACATTTAATCATTTATCCTTATATTCTGTTTTACCTTTTTATATTTATTCCTCATTGTGTGGAAGATATTGATGATATATAAACAACTAGATTTTTAAATAGCTTTTTCAATCTCATCTTTCCTATTTTTTGTATTTATCTTTTTATTTGCTCCCTGCACATAACATCCTGTGCTTGTCTTATTAAACCTCATCTGCCTGTTTTCCCAGTGTTGAACTTTATCTAAAACGTTTTATTTTTTTTTCTACATTGTGTAATCCTTCTATTTGGGTATTGCCTGCAAATGTACTAATTTGGAATCTAGATTATATATATATTAAAATATATATTATATATAGAAATTAAGGAGAGTTTGTATCAAAGATGATTGTGTTACTCCACTAAATAAAATGTAAATAGTGTCGCCACATTTTGTAATTCAATTTACATCTCTGCTTCTGGTTATTTATTCTTTTCATGTAAATGCAAAACTAATGATCCCAAAGTCATGTATTTTAGAATGTGTGGAGACAGATGATATGACTGAAACAGTGACCTACAGTACACCTGCTACTGTACATAAAGGAATTCTGTTTTTGGTTGGATCCTGATGGCTGCACTTGTGTAAAAAGTCCTGTTTGGGTCCATTACTTACGTTTCCATGTGTTTTGCAAAACTGTTCCCTTTTTTTTTCCTTTCATCTAAAAAAATACAAACTATTGTGAGAAAAAATGCATCCTTTGGAAAAACATGGTTTTCTGACTGCAAATGGCAAAATCTAAACAAAATTATGATGAATTAAATAATTTGCATTTCAGTGGCTGAGACACAAGTCCTATAAACATGAATCTGCTACATCTGGGAAAGAGTTATTCCAAGTGTTCCTGGCCAACGCGATAGTCATAAACTTTCTGAGATTCTCTGGTGATGCATTTAAAGCCTGAATTTAGAATGGAACTGCCCACCTTGTTTTAAGCCACTTCAATCGACGTTCTTTCATTATGTTCTTTATTTAATTCAACCTTATTTGATAGGTCTGGCACACAAAGAAGAGGCATTTTTGACATTTAAGACTAGTAGTACTTATGAGTTTTTAACTCTTTTGTCCTTTTAAGACTTTTTGCAGTTAATCAGCCCTTAACTTCCACTTACTTTGCTAGAATAATCAAACAATTTCTTACTCCAAGAACCATAGACTTCAAGAACGGTGTGAAAACAGTATACTGTATCTCACATTGTGCAGCTTCACTCGCCCATCCATTCGCTTTCCTACTGCTGTATCCAGGTCAGGGCACAGAGGAGCCGGAAACTATCCCAGCAAACAACAGGCACAAGGCAGGACACACCCTGGATGGGACACCAGTCCATCACAGGACTCACACAGACACACACACTCTCACACCCTGGATGGGACACCCATACATACACAGCTACACACACCCACACCCACATACATACACCCCTACACACATCCACACCTACACACATACACACAAACACACCTACAGACACGTACACATACACACCTACACACACCCACACAAGCATACACACACATCCACACCTACACACACCGGCACATACACACCTTCACCAGAACACACATACACACAAACACATCTACTGTACACACAAGTGCACACACCCACACCTACACACGTGCACATTCACATGCTCATAGAGTCCGTTTAGTGACACAACCTAGCCAGCATGTGTTTGCAAGCAGGGAGGAAATCGGAGCACCCAGAAAACCTGCAGGGCTATGGGAAGAACATGAAGAACATGTTTCCTTCTGAACCTTTCAGGGCTGTTTATCATACAGCTTTGCTATAGTATGGATTTCATTACACTGGACACAATAAATGTCTGTCTAACTGGTCTGGAATGACTTTCATTTATCAGGTGAAAGGTTGTAAATGGCCGATGCACGACAATAGCCATAGAAGGTGCTGGGAGCCATTCCTTATCACTACTCCTTACTCAATTCCACTGGGAAAGATCAAGGCAAACGAGAGGTTTTCATTCCTCCTGGACTCTTTCATCCCACCAGCCACCAGGGCTTCAGGAAGAGGTCTGTAATTAGGAATGCATTTCCTTTGCACACATCTTACTCAAATATTCCTAATACTTATTATAACACAAATACAATGCTTATTGTTTTCAATTTTCTTTTTATTTGCTCCATCTTAGCAATGACTGTAATAATCAATAATTATTGATGCACACATTATAGCGAAACATCGTTAATGTGAACAAATCTCAGTAGAATATGGTCTACAAGTGCATGTGAATGACTAATGGAGTCTTCCTCACTCGTATGAAATTCTTTTCTCAGTTTGCTTTGTTTGAGAGGTTCACTTGTTGGGACTCTGTCTCCTGCCCGCGGTGAGACCAGGGGTTTGTGAGACTTACAGTACTTTCACAAAGTTATCGATTGTGTGCTTGATTAAAAAATGTGTAAAGGTTTTCTATACCGTCGATGAATTTGTTTTGTTACTGAGATGTGCGGAATTGGGATTACTTCCCCTTTAAAGCAGAACAAACGCGATGTACCAGTTCTACACATTGCTTTGCTCTTCCTTCACTGCTCCTATGTCTGAGCCCCCAGTGCTGTTTTTTACAAGAGGAAGAAGCTTTCTCTTTCTTAAGGCTGTGACACACTTGAATTAAATGACAAACAGCAACTGCACATCAGTCGAGAACAAAACACAGGAAAAGAGAGCCTGACTTTTCATCCTCATAGTCGAACATTTAGTGTCTTGGGCTCTCGCCTCAACCCTGAAAGTTGAATTGTAAAACTATTTTTTTTACCCTTTGGACAGGCGATGTGGCTCAGATGTGCACTACTGCAGAGAGTCTGAGCTGCTGTACTGGAAATTTTCCAGCTGCCTGTATCTCCCCTCTCCTGGAAATACTGTAGGGACTCCTGATTAATGACCTGCTATGGAGGACAGTTTAGCAAGCATTTTTAAAATCTTCTCTTGTAGATTTCAGTAGATGACACGAGCAAAACAATGAGTTATTCCTCATTCCTTGTTTTCTTAGGTATTTACATGCATGAATAACATCTGTAGCCTTATTATTAACCTCCAGCACTAAAAATACTATTTTGAACATACAGTATTTGACAGTGAAGTCTGCGAGATCCATTTTAAAAGTGAAAATGAAGCCACATCATTCCAAATGCATTCAGAAGCTCCACACTACAAGATTCAGGCATTTTGACTTTAAAATCATATTTTAAAAATATTTTTTGTCTCAAAGCAAACAAATATTCTGTGCAATATTTCAAACA